AAGGAGCTCTTATTCTGATTATATAATATGTGTGTATGCATTTTATAATGTAATAAAACATATAATTTATAATTATATAATGCATTTATTTTTGTGTGTGTGCGTGTATGTATATATATATGTGTGTGTATAGATATATACACACATTATCTATCTATCTATCTATCTATCTAATGCTTGTGTGTATGTATGCTTATTTATTAAATCTTTAGAGTTCCAACTCTCTTATGTCTAAGGTCTTCATTCTCACTTAATGATTATACAGACATGAGATGGTGCTATGGGCCTGGGTGGGGTAAGGAAGGAAAGTTAAACTTTCCTTGCATCCTTTTCAGGTCTGACAACTAAAGTTTTTGTGTAGGAAATAATTGATCAAGGGCCTTAATCTTGGCAGATGTTGAAAGGGTTCTACAGAGCCTTGAGCACAATTACCAGCTACTGAAGTTGATGGCAGGTGAAAGTATGTGGCACCTTGTAGGATTATTTCCCAAATGTTTTGTGAGTAACTGCTAGTTGCCTTGGAAATATTGTATTTGTTGAGCTAAGGCTGAACATATACTTGAGGTTTGCCAAGTGTGATTGTGACTTTGAGTCATCCAATGCCATACCTTTCTCAGAACCTTTCAGTTTATTGTAGTTCTCTGTGAAAATATAAAGGTGCAGATTCTTAAGATTGGCGTGAAGTAAGATTTGGTAACTGACACAGTGTGTGCGTTTCTAAATGAGGAACATTTAGACAACAATTTTGTTTCTTTACAGAGTTAATGACATGTGAGGAACTGCATTCCATATTACACTTGGTCCTTCAGGCTGGGAATATTATGAATGCAGTAAGTAACATACAAAATGGAGATGGTTAATTCACCAAGCTTCCCGATTAGTATTGCAGTTCATTGTTATTGCATGCTTTCTCTATTTTCTTTCTCCCGTTAGGGAGGCTATGCTGGCAATGCTGTTGGATTTAAACTATCATCACTGCTCAAGCTGGCAGACACAAAAGCAAACAAACCTGGAATGAATTTGCTGCATTTTGTTGCTTTGGTATGTAAAAACTACCATCTCTGAGAAGTGTGATACTGTACATATATTTGGGAGGCATAGATGACTGATGATAGGAGTCTAATGGTGGAGTAGCAGAGCCACATGCCATAGAATAAAAGGGTAACTTTTTAAATCTTTGGAGCTTTTTGTCTTCTCTCTTCCCTTGCACAAATTACACTGTCTTACTTATGTATGATGAGTGCATCCACAGTAAAATGAACAAACAAAAACTAGTTAAGTCTTGAAGCAGAAAAGTTCTGGTACTTTGTAAAACTTACCCATCTAGTGCTTCCACTATAACATCTCCTCACTGTTGCAGTCTTGGAGTTCTGTTACAGAGGCTGCCTGTCTTAATAAATATTTTAATATTCTTTCTGCTGAATCTTCTGGGCAGAAACATTTTATTACGGTGCTTGACTCATAAGGCAGTTTTAAAGCTAGTCAATTGGTTTCAGCAGTCATAAGGCTTTTGGGAGTGAGGTGTATCTCTACTCCTTACCTTCTCCAGTTAACTCAATGCATGCAGAGTAGCTGTTTTGATCAAATTTTCCTTTCTACTATGGAAGAGAGAAGGTGTAAAATACTTCCATATGTGACTGGTTATACCTGTACAGGCTACTTAAACAGCTTTCAAATTAACAACATACCTTGAGCTAACAGTAGGGTATTAGGTGAGTGTAGGCAGTAAAAATTGTAAAAATTAGCTCAAATAATGAGAATTAGTAAATTGCTGTTTCATTAAGATTCCTTCTTTATGCAGGTGAATTGTTTTCAGTGGCAGGAAATCCTATTAGTTGTGCCCTATGAAATGGAAAATGTTGTTTTTAACTTTCTAGTGCTGATAGTTCTCTAGCTTGAAGAGATGTTTTTTTCTCAATTCACTTGAGTTGTGTAATGAAAGAAAAATGGAACATGGCACTGTAATACAAAAATGTTACGTGCCTTTACCAAAGCTTTAGAAACTCTTTACTTTGATTTGTAGCATTTGAGAATGTTAAGGAAAGATGTTTATTTGTTTTAGGAAGCCCAGAAGAAAGATGCAGTTCTTCTAAGCTTTTCAGAAAAAATACAGCATGTTTATGATGCAGCCAGGTAAGCAAAGTAAACTGAGAAGTTAAATTCAGACTCTTATCAGAGACCCTTTTTTTGGGGGAAGCACTGAAACACATACAGAGATGTTTTGGCATGAAAGCTGAGATCTTTACAAGTGTTTACCATAGCTTTCAGAGCTTCATTTCTTTTTGCAAGCAGAAATATGTCTCTGAAGTGCCTTCAGGTTTGCAAGTTCTTGTGACTGGATCTTTGTAAGTTTTTTATAACATTGCTTACATCAACACAATAATAAGTAGCTAGATAACACATATATGTTTAAGGGATCAAACTACAAAGCATCTTTTATGTGTTACTATGGCTCTATAAAATAGCCGTCCGGTTCCTGTTGGGCTGCTACACTAAGTTTCTAAATCTAGTGCTAGTTATACTAGTAAAGGTTATTAGTAGCTTAGGCTTCCTATGTAGACATCCCTCCGCCCCGCCCCCCCCCCCACTTCCTTCTTCATTTTTATCTTTGAGGACCTCTCTTCCCAACCTTTTTCTCCCTGAGGCATTATGGACATTTTAAGTACAAAACTACCCCATTCATGTGCTATATGACCTTGCCTTCCAACCTTCAGAGCCTGTTTCTCTCTCAGTTGGTGGAGGGATGGAAGGCCTAACTATGAGTGAACACTTTGTATTATATATGCAGTATGAAGGAGGTAACCTATAGTACTTGCAACTATGCATACTTTTCAACTGCATGGCTTGAATTTTATTGTTCTAAAGCAAACCTAATTCCTACCTGGATAAACTGTAACTACTTTTGTGAAACAGCATATCACCTGGAAGTGGGAGCCAGCAATGCTAAAATTCTAATTCTGGTGTTGCCACAACCTTGCTCTTCGGCTTTTATCTGTCAGCTGAAATTCTTTCCCATCTATAAAATGGGTCAAGTAATACATGTAAAGTAATCTGAACTGCTCTAAGGAAAGGTGCTGCATATGTGTTGGTGAGAGTACTGACCTGAAATTCCCTGATGGAAGCCTGTTTGGCTTCCTGCCATCTAGCCTAACCCCTTGGTTGCCTGCTCATGGCCTGCAGGGGAGCTGGGACTTCCTGGGCTTGCACGCTCAATGCGATGCAGCAAGAGAGCAAAACAAAAATGTTCTCTGTTGGTCTTTAGAAATAATCTTTTCCCTTCCTTTTCCTTTTATTTCTGACCTTTCGTCCTGAACCAGGATGAAAGCTGTTTCTCAAATTTAAATTTTCATTGGAGAGCTGAACTGTTTCCTACCCAGCTGTAGTTTACAATGTGATGTTTCTATATAGTCTGACTAAACAATGGTGAGATGAAAAAGAAATAAAAAACAAAACAGGCATGTTGTACAACACAACTTGAACGTGATGTTTGCTGCTAAAAGCTCTTAATAAGTTGCTGATAATTTGGACCAAAAAAAAGAAGAAACCATATTAGACCTGTTAAGACAATGTATGCATTTATTATTATTTCCTGTCCTTCCTTTGTAATACCTTCCTTGCTGCCTTCACAGCACAACACATCATTTGCAGTCTCCCTTGTCTGCTAAAACATCTTTGTCCTACACCGACAGGGAGTGTACCAATGGAAATGAAGCAAGCTGAGAAAAAACAGCTTATTTCATATCCATCTGTGTATGTACTCAGTTGCTGACTCTTGCTCAGTTACTGACAGTCATACTTACTACTTCTGTCACCAGCCTTGTGTACATTTGGAAACTTGATCCTAAACTAGATCATGGGGACTGAAGTTCCCACACCTGCAAAAAGGACCAAAGGTAATTAATATCACACTGTTGCTGAAATGGCCTCTGACCAGGGTAGCACCTGCTGTTATGCTTGGTGGGTCATAGGTCATAAATGTCAGTGCTTCAACACCTAGGTAGGACTCAAACCTACAGTGGTGTTGAGTTCATTATGAGGGAAATGCTTCCTGTCTGTGAGGACATACCCTAAATGATCCATTTTTGAGGTAGCCGAGAGTCAACCTGTTACAGGTGGGACAGAAGTGCTTCAAAAAATTTGGTAGCCTGCATCATCTAGGAGATCACAAGACCAGATTCCAGCAAAACAAGGTCTTGAGCCTGTTGGGATGGCCCTATCTGGTGCAGAAGGATTTGTTGCAGGTATTTGGTAGAAATATGAAATAGTACATCTGCTGAATGAAAGGAGGCTGTAACTCCATGAGCTCTTTGCATTACTGCAAATTTCTGAAGGAATTTCCTCTTAGAAAACATAGGGAACCTTTACACATGGTCAGTAAAGAAAAATTATCTGCTAAAAGTTACACCTTATACTTTAGGAAGGTTTGCTAAGGAGGAAGGTCTTGTTTGATGTATAGGCTGCATATGGTGACAAATGCTGATTACTTAAGCATGTAATATCTAACCGCGAGCACCTCCTTCTTCTCTGTAAGTTCTTTCTGTGTGTGCTATCTTATAGGTTATCTGTTGATAATATAGAAGTAGAACTTCATTCATTATCTGCCAAGACAAGATCCGTTAAAGACCATATTCGACAGGACCCAGAACTCTTTCACCAGATGGAGGGTTTTATCCAGGTTTGTAGAATATCCCTGCTAATACGTTGCTGTCCCTTCAATATGAAGGTGCTCCTTTAGTTTAATGTAATTTGCATGGACATGTATTACATTATTAAAATGTGTGCCTCATCATCAGGGATCCAGGTTTTCCTTTTTCCATGGGAAAATAGAAAAAAAACCATGGATTTTCCCTTCTAACTGAGAAAAATGTGGATTTCTCTTTTTAATAGAGAAATGCATGGCTTTTCCACTTTTGAAAGGAGCACTCTGCAGCCTGGTAGTATTCCAGCCTGCAAGGGGCTGGGGGGAGTGGGAGGAAGGTGGTCACACAGGGGGGTGCCATGTCCAGGCAGCCTGGAAAGCAGCTCCTGTAGGTAAGTTGTCGGGGAGGGAGGATTAAGGCCCCCGGAGGGAGGGAGGGAGGGAGTTGGGGCTGGGGCTGCTGTCCAGTCCAGGCAGTGCGTGGGGCTTGGGGCCCGGAGCTGGAATGTACAGCCACAGGGCCCGGGGAGGGAGTGGGAAGGGGCTGTGGGCAGCTCTTCTGGGGAGTGAGACAGTGGACTATGGCTCCCCACCACTGTGTGCACTTCTGGGCGGGGGTAGAGGGGTCACATGCTTTTCACATCTGTGCAGGGGGGGG